ATGCTTCCTCCCTGGAAAATTACTTTTTTTCCATTCCATGCTGTACTCTTTTGCAACTGTAAGACCAGGCAACCGGCTTCCAGGGAAAACACTTATAAAAAAGCATTTTTTTTTTTTTTCCTTCCCCCCCCCAACATCTAAAATGTCATTGTGTGGCAATGAGCGATTGTGCTGAGACAGAGCTGGAGCTGTGTGGTCTGAGAAGGCCGAGTGTCTGGGAGGGGAGGAGGTGGGTTGCTGCCGGATTTGTCGTCGTGTCCGTGTTTTATTTTGTCTTTTCTGTTAGATTTTTGCCTTGGTGTTTTAAGTTTTGTCCATGTTTTCTTGGACACTGCCCGCTACAGAGGTGCTCAGTGAGTGCTGTGAGGTGGGGGAGACCCCAGGAGCCTCTGGGGAGGAGTTCTGGAGCTCTTCCTCTGCCTTGGTGGGCAGCCTGCCCCTGCCCTGCTCAGGGGGGTGGAAATGGCAAATTCTCATTTGTTTCTTCTTCTTGAGCTGGGGAGACCTCCCCGTTATTCCAGTCCTGAGGCTGTTGCAGAAGGAGCTGAGCAGACTTGACTCCTGAACACTGGGCTCCGAGACCTGCGGGAGCACCCATGGGGCTCTGGAGAGTGCTGCCAGTGGTAATGGTGACCAGGCTCCGACGGGCATGGCCAGGAGCTGTGATCCTAAATGGTGTCGTTGTCAAAACTGATGAGCAAATGATGTAGTGGCTGTTGTGCTCTCATGCATATTCCTAAATAGGTCGTGCACCCTTCCTGAGAAAAACACATCTCTATAAAGCTGGTTATGCCTCTGTCTCATAGTGACCACAAACTTCTCTGAGAACCTGCAGGTGCTCTCTCTAGAAATTCCTGAAGACCTCTCGCTGGGTTCCTAAAACAGATGCTGCTGTCTAAAATTAGGTGTAGGCAAAGACTTCTTCCACCTTCTGCAACTGTAGTGGCAGGGTATTATTTTCTCTCAAAGATTGTTTTTTTATCCTAGGACACAGCTTGACTGCTCCTCATCTTCCCCTTAAATATTTGTCTTAATTAGAGCAGCTTAGGTAAACTTAATGTCTCATGAAAAGTGTGTAGAAACGAGATGGAGAAGGAAAAGGGCTACAGAGATAAAAAGTGTGGTTTTTAGAGCAAGTGGTTATGATGTGTCAGGAAGAAGCCAATGGCAGGAATATGCTCTAAATAGTCAGCTGGGCACAAAGATCAGTTCAGATATGTCCTGGATGATGCACCAAGTTCCTCATAGGTGTTTTATGAGCATGAGGAATTTATTGCATGAGAAATGGGGATGTTCTTGAGCCACAGTGTAAGGACGGTCAGGCAGCACAGGTGTAAAGGAATGTGCTGGTTTTCCCTTGTGTGAGTAACAAGAGGAGAAAGACCTGTGGGCCACAGAAAGGTGACTGACACACAAATGTCAGTGAGGGGAATCAGTTTTCTAACCCTTTATGCCCATTTATTATCCACCACCATCCTTTTTTAGAGGAACCTGGTCTTTTTTGCTGCTGGAAGGAGGATGTTAAGCCAGGTATGCAGCCTGTTTTCAGAGCCCTGGCCATGCCCTTTGTCCTGTGTGCTGCTGCCTCTCTCCAGGATTTTGCTCACTTAGTCTCAGAGGCCTTTTTAAGGTGTCTCTTGGAGCAGATGTGGGCTGTGAGTGCGGAGAACGGGATGGAAGAACTGTTGCATCAGTTGCAGTGATTTCTTTTCCAGCCTGATCCTCAAAAGCCGCTAACTTGGCGATGACGGTGTTGCAGAAGAGGCCAGTTTGTGCCACCTCCCGTCGCTGCTGAGCTGCAGAGAGCAGTTGCTTTGCTGTGTGTGTTTGTTGCCACTTCATAGGCACGTGGTGGCTGGATAAATCCTGATTTTTTGCTCTGCTTGTCACAGTAAGCTATTCTCAGCCATTTTCTAGGTCTAATCCTGTCATAAAGGAAGAGGATGTCCATCAGGCCCGCTCTGGAGTTGGAAGAGGTGCCCATCTTTTTTAAAGCAGGGAATTCTCTAACCGCAGGTGGTTATGTAGCAGCTGGTAAGCAGGGAGGAGGCTGTGGCTGGTGTCACCTGCCTGGAGAGTCACGTCACCTCCCTGTGCAGGTGCCTCTGAGGCTGATGGCTTCAGCCCCTGTGGGTCCTCGGGACAGAAGAAACTCCATTCCGTTGGGGGACAGCTAACGTTTTCAGAGCTTCCTAGCTTTTATGGTCTGGTTTTGTTTTTCCAGGAGAAATTTGAGGATTCTGTAGCATAGTTTTACCGTAGCTGTGTGTGTCTGTAGAACAAGGACCTCCCCAGCTTACACCGAAGTGCAGGTGTAGGGCTGGAGGGGCTTCAGGAAGGGATCTGGTCTTTGCAATGAAGTAGCATCTGCATCAGGCGTTTACTCTTCTTCTCAAGAAAACCCAACAGATTTCCAGTGCTGGAAATTCTGCGCTGCAGATAACCTGTTTCAGTACATCACCACTTCGGCACTAGGTGTATTTGTTTCTCCATATCCAGGCTGAATCGTGGTTATCATTTAAGCTGACGCTACAACGTGGAAGAGTTGAGCACTTTCCCCCTTTCTTGTGACTTTTCATGTGTCCAGACTGTTCTGTTCCTTTCAGTGTTATCTTTTTAAGACTAAACACACACCAAGTCCTTCAGTCCTTTTATCCAGGTCATGCTTTCTACACTCTTAATTTCTGTTTTCTTCCACTGGAATGTCTCTGATTTTTGGGTCTGTTTTGGAAAGAAGTGAGGTGTGGTCTGGGGTGTGTGGAGTGGAATAGAACCACTGCTCTGTGTCACACCTACAGTGTAGCTACTGATGTGTCCCAGGATGTCATTGCCTGCTTTGTAGCAATGTAAGCTGACTGGCTTGGAATTAGTTGCTGAATCAATGTAATGCATGCGTGCATTTTTTTTTTCTGGCACATCAGAGTTGCTGTTTTGTCGTGACCGTTTGATTTTTATTTTTTTTTTCCCCTTGGTATACTGTTTTATACTGATCTTTACTGAGGTTGGCTTGATAGTGTGCTATAGGTAGGTCTAGGGTTCCTGCAGCCAGACCAAACCCCTGCAATAAGACTCCACAAAATCCTGAGCCAGTTTGAACCTGCAATGTTGAGGGATTCTTTTTTTTTCTTGTAAAAAAAATAAAGAAAAGTGATGGGTTTTGTGTAGGTCAGTAGAGTTTACAGTTCGTCGGGCGTTATCTTGCCCCAGAAAGCTTTAGTGGTTCTTGCACAGGTAGCCAAGCCAGTGGCTTCCTGGGTTTCTTCTTGCATCGTCCCTCTTCCTGATGTTCCTGGTCACTGTGCTCAGAGCTCAGTGTCCTTCACAGAAGCCGTGAGACCCTGTCCTTTAATTTTCTTTTTGGGTGCTCCCTCCAGCTGGGCCTTCCTCCTGCAGCAATTTAGTTCAGGGAGTGAAATTGGAAAGAGGCCAAGGGTTTTAAAAAAACATAGTTGTTCCTGTTAGTTTGTTCCGACCCTGCTCACTCGTGGAGCACGGGGAGGGGGTGCTTCACGAGGGGGTGGGAGGCAAGGGGCAGCGCTGCCCTTTTCGGCTGCAGTGAGCCCTTAGGTTGGTTCCAGCTCCGTGAATTTTGTCCTGATAATTTCAGGCCCACTTCTGCCTGGCGGTTACTTAATGCTTTGCTGTCTTTATCGCTTTCTTATCTTATAGGTAACTACAAACTGATCATTTAACTTGATCGAGAGTCTTTCAGAGGATTGGAGTTACTGGTCTGTAACTTCTTAAGTCTTCTCCCAACTTTTTTTTTTTTCCTTATATAAAGGTAGGTGAGGCATGATGCTTCTCCAGCCTTCTGTGGCCTTCCCGTGTTCCTGTTAATGTTCAAAGATGGTCACTAACGCTTCGAAGATGACTTTGACTGGTTTCTTACGTGCTTTCGGGCGAATGCTGTTATTCTCCCTCAATCTACAGCTGTTTTGCCAACATTTGTTAAGCCTTTCTTCTCTAGCCTGCTCTTTTCTCCCATTTGCAGATTAATTTTGCTTGTCACATTTCGCTTTTTCTTCTGGAGGCTGAAGGAGCGTTTGTACTTCAGCCTTTACAGCATTTGCTTTCCTTTCCTGTTTGCCAATGAGAGTGTAATTATCTTTTTTTTCCTCTTCTAACATGCCCACTTCTCTCCGTTTTTCTTGTGATTGAAGAGTTCTTAGTAACAGCTGTGCTGATTTGGACTAAGAGACCATCTAACCCAGCATCCTTCTAGGAAAGAATTAAAATAGGACAAGTATATACGATATTTTCCAACCACTCTTCCCGCCTCCAGCTCCTGTCAGATAAGGGGATTTCCTGAGTCTAATATGAGCTGTCTAACCATGAACAACCAATAGATTTGTCTTTCTGGTACTTGTCCTGTCTTTGTTGAATCTATGTAAAATTTTCATCATTTTTGGAGAAGTACCACCAGACAAGTTACCTGCTGGTGAAGAGACACATTTGTTTGGTGTGTTTTGAAGCTGACGATCACTGGCTTCATGTGATGGCTGCTAGCACCTGTGTCTGAAGAGACGGTGAATAGTCTACCCCTGTTCACCATCTTTATGCCACTCATGATTTTACGGACCTCTGTTATGTTGCCTGTCTTGCATCCTAATTTGTTACATGGATGCTGTTCCATGGCAAAGAGAAGACTTACCTGGGTAGCGTCTCTGGTCTATACCTTTCTCTGAAGCCTTGGGACACAGAAGGGCAAGGACAAGGGTACTTGGGAGTCCTTGTCCCGTCCATCTGAGGGGAGATGCTGAAAGGCAGACTCTTTCACAAGATGTTTTGTACACCTCATGATAAACAGCCTCTGTCCTTTTGGGCTGTGTTGAAATCAAGGAGAGTTTCAGATGTTCTTTATGGCGATACATACCTGTGCTAAGATGGTGAGGGAGGGGATGGTGTGGCTGAGGCACACCTCTGGATGGTGGGCACGCTCTCAGAACTGCTCTCCCCTGCTCTTTCCAGAGATCGGCCAGCCTGGCTGAGACCACTTAGCGATGACAAAACAAAAGCTTCTGCTTGATGGAACGCTCTCCTTGTTTCTGATCGTGACCTGTGAAGCTCAGCAGCTCCCGAGGAGTCATGTTGCTGCTAGTTCCGGTCCTCTGTGCGAGAAGGAGGCAGAGTCCTGGGGAAACCTTTTCAGCAGCGAGCGGCTGGATGCCTGGATTTGTTCCCTCATCGGTTCGTTCATGGTGGGGCTGAGTGGGGTCTTCCCCTTACTGGTGATCCCATTTGAGACGGGAGCTGCTCTGCGATCAGAAGGTAAGATCATAGAATTGTAGAATGGTTTGGGTTGGAAGGGACCTTAAAGATCATCTAGTTTCAACACTTCCCCCCCACCCTGGG